CCTGCTGCCTTCCTTGGATGTGGTAGCCGTTTCTAAGGCTCCCTCTCCGGAATCAAACCCTACTTTTCAATTTGCTCCCCCGTGCACAGGCCCACTGTCTGGCACCCCGCTTAGCGAAAAGAACCCTAGTCACCCAATGACTGCCTTCGGACCAGCTTCCGCCCCATCTGGTGGGTCATCATCCCACTCTCCACCGCATTCGTCACCCAGTGCCGGAGGGACACCGTCCCACACCCCATCCCACTCCGACGCCCCATCCCCCTCCGCACCCACTACCGGTGCACCCCAGTCCCACTCTAGTGGCACCGCCCAGATGAGGGCTGACTATGCCCCCACCGATCGTGTTGTTGCCCTTAGGGCCTCGAAAGAGAGTGAGCAAGCTCTTCATGAGCCTCTGAACCCACTGAACAACCGTGCTGGGGGCAACCGTCACGCTACCTTGATCGACCGCTCTGGTCCCGATCGCGTTGCTGCCCCTAGGGCCTCGAAAGAGAGTGAGCAAGCTCTTCGTGAGCCTCTGAACCCACTGAGCAACCGATCGGGGGATCACCGACACCATGTCGCACCGAACGAACTACCAGCTTCGGCTCCCAATCCGCCTTCCAGCCGACGCTCGAAGAAAAAGCAGGCCATGGCCACCGCCGCTCCTTCCACGTCTACCCCGGCGCCACCCTCTACTCCATCTTCCCCCACTAAGCCTGCAGTGAAGGATGCTGCAGTGGAAGACCGAGCATGGCGCACCGAATGGTATTCCTCTCACCCCCGCAGCGAACGCAGTCGCCCCACGGAAGCTGAATTTGCAGCGGCCATGGCGATCTTCAATGACTCGGACGTCGACCCTGCCTCACAACGCATGGCAGCAATGAAAGGATTGCCTACCCCGGTGCAGGATGAGTACCCCATGCTGATCTCATGCAAGTCGGCTGCAGCGACGTTCCCGCTACAAATCATGCTCGACTGCTTGGCCGCAGGGAACCAACCCAGCGCCTGGACGGATGCGAAGCAATATTGCCGCAACTTCAAGCGCATCAAGAACGTCGGAATTGGTTTCACCTGCACTGACCGCGACCTCGTTTCTCGCCTCGGCGGACTCGTCCTCAAGATATGCGGGCGTCCCTTCACCGTCAAGAAATACTCCGAATACCACCACCTCTACTGGGTCGATGTTGTACTATCTGACTCAACGATGCCATCTGACGTTTGGGACTATTTCATGGCGCATGGAGATCAACCGGTCCTCCTTCAATCATCCTTCTCCAAGAATGCGATTCATTCCAAGCACATCACGGTCTACTTCGGCAACCAACGCGTCCCGGCATGCCTCCTCCTGGGCGCAGATGACCCAGTGCGCGAGATCATGATCAAGGACCAAATCTGCATTGTTACCCACAAACTCTCCAAGTTCAACCTTGTCACCCCACCATCCATCCAGCAACGTTCTACCAAACCTAGCGGTCGTTCGACACCCAAGACTAAGGCAATGTCTCGATCAGAGGCACCACCTGCCAACCACACTACGGCGGATGCAGCAATGGTCGACCCTGTCGACCAAGACATGGATGCCGATGATGCCGCCCTCACCAAGCCCTCGCTACCTACAACGGAACACCACACGGCCTTTGAAGATGATGGCGATGACGACTCTGAGTACTTCCCTGGCTCTGGTGACGAAGACTCGGATGCTGATGATGCATCCGGCGATGACGCCATGTCAACGGACGCGGATTTCATGCCATCCCCTCGACCACCGCGTCCAGTTGTCCGCCCCGACTTCCTGCACCATGAGCCAGCAGCCGCCATCACCCCCCCTCTACGCAACCCTCCTCCGTCTAGCCAGCTTTGGGAACGCGCATCTTACTCCCGCAGAGCGGTCATTCTCAACTACCCACCACCTCCTACTCCCACGTATGCTGTCGAAGTTGCCATCGATCATACGCCAGGGGCCGTGGTCCACGCCTTCCCCGAAGGATACAACAGATACTCGGTACTGGCGTACCCCTCCAACGAAGACAACCTTGCACCCTTGCTGGACATTACAGTGGCTGACACTCCCGGTATCTACCCAGCCTTCCCTGTGAAGACGTATGCAAGCACTTTCGATGACTTGCCCACCTTGAACACCACTGTGGAATCCATGTCCATCGCGGAAGTGAACGCCTTCATCTCATCCTTTGTGGCCAAGTACGCGCGATGCGACGACCCAACGAAATCGCTCACCCTTATCCAAGGACACCCCGGCTTCGCAGCGCCTCTTTTTGATGCAAAGCAACCCACCAACTTCGAAGTCATCACGAAGAAGCTCCCCGGTCACGCCCTGCAACGTCTCATCCAGAGAGAGCTTCCCCACATCGACTACGCCACCACCATAGACCAGCACTTTAACTCCCAAGTCGTTCCGTGGTGGTATTTCGTGTTTCCATCCGATGATCCTGCTCCAACACCCCTCTCCGCTCTGCTACGCCACGTGGACACGGACGCACTGCACCTGCACTCCGCACTCGCCCTAGTCTGCCTATTTCTGCAGATCTGCCAGCCTGAGTTGTACTTCAACACGCTCAAGATCCATGCGGTGCTTTCGGGACTAGCACCACCCCCAAGTGTTGCCGTTGCTACCCTAGCAGCTCTGCCGCATTTTCTCCTTACCGACGCCGTCCTTGTGTCGATCGCCGCGTCACCCATTGGTCACATGCTAATGACCTCCAACATTCACCCCGACGTCAAGGCTGCACTCTCGACACTGGCCACACTCTACCCCCTCCCTACCCACCACGTTCACGGCTTCCGCGCTTAATCCCGCCACAGCATGGCGCCTGCACGGCGCGTCGATCAATGCCAATGGATTGAACCGCGCCCCACGATCCCAATTTTCCCTCCTCGCTTCCAAATTCTCCTTCATTGCACTTCAAGAAACCAAGTTCACGGCCACCGTCAACCACGACAAGGCTACCCACATGTGGCATACCACCGACTCCAGGGGATCGTCGTTTTGGTCACATGATTCGTCTCAAACATACACCGGCCACGACGGCGTTGGTCTCCTGCTAACCGGCTCCTGTCCACTGGAAGATTGCACCGACATGACGGCTCACTTCGCCCCGCCACTCTCACTCCTTGCAAATCGCTACCTACTAGTCCGTGGCTCCCTCAACGACACGACGGTCTTCATTCATGTGATATATGCCCCCGCCCAAGACTCCGCGCGCGCATCATTTTTCCCTCTGCTCCCCAGACACTTTCCTGCCGGAGCCGCACACATCGTCTGTGGTGACTTCAACACCACCCTTGGACCCTTAGACTGGCGCTCCACAACTCCTACACGCCCAGACCCAACGTCAGACGACCTACACCAATGGATGTCGGAACTCAACGTTGTTGATCCCTGGCGGCTCACGAATCCTGACCGTGAAGAATTCACTGGCCCCTACTCGCATCGCCGCATCGACATGCTTTTGGCCTCACCCAGCCTGGTCACACACCACCTCCACCACGTCTCCCATGCGCTTGGTATGAAATGGCACCTTTCTGACCACGTTCCCGTCCTGTTTACCTTCAACACTCGTACCTGGTCCCCACGCGACCATCCAAAACCTTGGCGCTGCCCACTTTGGCTGCTCCAAGTTGCGGAAATTCAGGCCCATCTGGTTGGAACACTGAATAAACTCATGGAACGCCTAGCTGCTCCACATCTCCATCCCCGATTCAACCCAGGATGCCTTCTCGATGAACACAAACGAGCTGACGCCATCTATCTCCGGGAACAATTTGTCGCTCGTCGTCACGCTACCAGCCGACGCCTCAGTGAGCTTCTGTCCACA